GACCTCGAAAGGACGACGTGAGCACGGATGCGGCAATAACAATAACAACCGCATCCCCTGGATGTCCTGTCCAGTCCCCTACCCCCTCCCTTTGTCACTATCAATTTGTATCGTGTCGGCGCGTGTTGCCATTTTGTCCTGTTTACCTTTGAACTATCTCCCTACCTGGTTCTTAAAGAACCCCTAGAAGGTAAGATGGGAATGGGAATGGGAATCCTACCTGATCCCATCCAAGGGCAAATGGCAGCCGTCTGCGGCTTGGCCGGCCGATTAGCACTGATCAGTGCGGCTTAATCGTGGCTTCTTGACAGTTTCCAATACAAAGTCTATTTAAATAGGTTCAATTGCTGTTTTTTGTTTGTCCGGCTGTGGGAAAATGGGAAAAACTTTTCACAAACGCCGTAAATGTGCAGGAAATATGTTCGGCAAGACAGTCGGGAATAGTTGCATCAAATCCTTTTGACCATGTAACCTAATGATGGTCTAAGTGTTTACTCACTTAATTCAACGTCACATGTTGACGTGTTTATTTTACAAATTGGATAAGTAAGTCATGTAAAATATATTTGCAAAGAATTGGAAAAATTTTAGGATCGCTAATGGCATATGATTGACAGAAGGTACTTAATACCTTACTCTTTACTCTTCAATACAACATAACCTTATATGCTTTATCATCTAAACTTAAATTAAAATATGGTATGGTACTTCTAATATTCCAATTATCATTACTACTAAATATAACAGAACCTTTAAAAATATGGGATTATCGTCATACATTTATTATAATACCATTTAATTTCAAACTAAATTAATATATGGTATGGTACATCTAATTTCCCGAATTTTAAAAAGTCTTGGCAAAATCTTGACTTTTTCCACTTTCGTATCTACCGCCCAGCATCTGAAGATAACCATATACAATTGAGTTGGTTATTGTTGCATTAAAAGAGTGTTAAAGACATGTTCTCAACGGCCATTTAATGGGTTTTGATAAGAGCACAACTTTGGGGTAGACCGCAGGCCACTTGAATTGGATGCTTCGACGAAAGGGATCTCTTCGGTTTATTGTCGAATTTTTATTTGAATGCCTACCACATAACGATGCTGATAATTGGCGCTTAAGGAGTCAAACGACTTGTATCCAAAGATAGGGGAATACGCACTCATCTAAAGACTTAGGGATGAAATGGATCCGTGGCGTATTGGATTACCAGTGCAATATTTATGGCCGCGATGTACACGAAAATATTAAAAATGCATAAATACATCGGCACCGGAGAACCATCGATGATGATCGTCCTGATATGTGAGACACTCGCCACAGTCGACACTTGTTTGCGGGGCGGGGTGAGGGGAACCTGCCCCGAGGCAACCCATTTTCGGATACCATAAATATGTCAAAATAGTTTTGAGCCAAACTTTGCTCCACAAAACCCCTTAATTTATGTGTACGTATTTTGGTCTCGTGGGATATACAAATAAGAATATTTCTGTTTGAATTGGCCCTCAGTGGATTTACTAATGTCTTGGGTGAACCATATAAAACTTATTAAACGACTTTTCGCCATAAACATTGGGCATTCGATATGTTCCCCACACAAAAACCGGAGAACTGTGCCACGGCCCATTGACATTCGGAGATCGAGTGTGAAACAGGGCACCTCCTAGCCCGAAGACCCACAAGATTATCCTTTTCCTAAGGACTAGTAATAAATCACATCATTAGCATAGCATCGCCATGGCTCGTAGGGTGATTTATAGGCTCGGGAGATGGCTCTGGAGGGGGATATTCATGTTTGTTGACACTCCGCTACTCCGAAACTCCGCCCAATCTTCGGAACTTTCCGCCGGGCGGGGCACTCAGCCCTGACTCACTTTATAAAGCGTATTCCACTATTAAAGTCGGGGTTTTTGAGGCCGCTTACCGTTATTTGCATTTGTACTCAATGCATTTTGTTTATAGAGCCCAGACTTATCGCACCTAACTAGGCATAACATTGCCAGCTTGGGGTCACAGGAACAGAGGGCAGTACAAGAAGGTAAATTCAGAAGTCTAGTGTGAGAACATTTAAGGTTAGTTTTGAATTCGAAAGTTCCCAGCTTGACACCAGATCAGAAAACTGATGAACAGAGTTGGAATTGGGTACTATATTTCTTAAAGAAAGCTTATTGGATACGTTTTTCAACAAATTTCTATAACGACAAAAAATAATTTCATGAATTTGTTTTTTATTTAGGTCCTCCACATGCGCGAATCGCGTGTTATATTGAGCCGATCACCCTTGTGACGTCTGTTCCAGTTTTTCAAACATGGCAATTAATAATTTCAAGGTTAAAGTTCCATAATGGATCCCAGGCACATGCAGGCAAATGAGCTCGAATTGAACATTTCAAAATACTTGTTTTTGCTTTGGATGAAAAATTGAAATTCGTTCGTTCCCGATCGAGAGTGTTGGGGCAACCAAAGTCGAATACGAAAATATACGAATACGAATAATTAAAAAATAAAATAAATGAGGCGAACGCGGAGAGGCGTCAACCTCTCGTCCCCATGTGTCTAGGGAAAGGTCCGGTCTAGTTCCCCCACTTCAGACCGGCTTCAAAGCGATCCCAAGAGCACCTTATCAGCCTCGATTTTTCGTATATTTAATAACATACACTTATTTGGTTTTAAATGCCCACAAAGGTTATGCGATTTATGTCTACGTACTAGTATAAGTACTCGTGTCTCGTTGTATTTGGAAACGAACGGACCATTTGAATTCGAATTCGGTTTGGCTTTTCGAAGCGAACCACTTGAGTGTCGCCTACTTTTCCAATTGATCAACGATCGTTAAAATGTTCTCAAAATGTCCAAACATATCGTTGGTGCCGCCTATTCAAATGACGATAAAAATGCCATAAAAACACCGACCGAGCCTCCCAAAATTCCACTCGAAAAGCGTTTTACGACTCGTCCTGGTTCAAATGTAACAATTTTTTAATCAGCCATTAAGGGGCAGCTCGAGTACATAATTTTACGATCGTTTTTGAATATATTTTGGCGCGACGTCTCGGGAATTTGCAAAGGGCCTCGGAGCCACGGAGATCCAAAGTCGAGACGGAGTCCAGGGGAAAGACTTTCCCTATGGATTTTTCTCACGGCTCGGCTCCAGCGTTCACTTGTCTCGCCGCTAGAAATGTCCTTTGCCCTGGTCCTGAAATTCTACACGCGTCTCGGCTTGATTTTAATGTTCGCGTCCTCGCGATAGGCATGAAAGTGTGTCTGGGTTCGAGGGCTCCCCTCCTAATACGCATGATATTTTGAAATTTTAGAGGAATTTCTAATTTGTTTCTAGCCTTCGATTTACTTCATTCTGATTTATGCGTGAATTTCATGTTTGATTTGTAAAACAACCATGAAAAGTATTGAGAATATTAGCCACGACGAAAGTAATAATCAAGATCTATTAAATTTAAGCTGTGTTAATTTCCTTAATTTTGTTTGGCATTGGTACTATTTCAACAATGTCACTTAAAACTTTCCAGTATTTTTGTTTATTTTATTCAGTTTTTAATCTTTGTTTTACATTTTAAACAACTTTCCATTTTGATATTATTGCTTGCTAAACTTATTCATTATAATGATAATTAACTTTTAATTATTAAATTTTATATATAAGCTTATGAATTTCTTATCTTATAAACACTATGATAATTTAATAAATTAAAACATTACATTTTTGCAAATCATTCTCTTAATCTTTATTAAATTTATTCGGCTTTGATATGACTTGCAAATTATTGTTTATTTTAAAAGACATATAGTTTTTGGTTAATCAGTGTCTATTGTTTCATATAACTTATATTATACACAATAGTTAATTTTTAAACAAATTCAAATTTTATTTCAAACGGCAAGCTTAAGAATTTTAAGCAAACAAATTCGTTTTCCATTTGTCGGATTACCCGAATTCTTATTTAATTAGCTTAGACTTGAAATTATATTTTAAACGTTTCTTTATATAAATTGTTTTTTTTGTCATACATATTTCCAGATTTAGTGTACGTTTTTTGCGGTCGCCTGCAACCGCCAGTCGGCCAACCACAACAACACCAATCGAGGAACAGTTGAGGTCGTGGCAACAACAACAACAATCCGGCATGGCCTCTGCCTCGGCCTGGCCCCCACCCCTCCGCCCACTTTCTACGCCTGTTGTTGTTGCTGTTGCTGCAGTGAGAGGCGTAGCTAAAAGCAGGGAACCCGTATTTAGGGGCATTGGCAAGAGCGAGAGGCAGCGAGCCAGCAACACCAGGCGAGGGCAATGAGTGCGATAAGGCAGGCATTAGCAGCAGCACACAGCATACAAAACAACAATACAAAGCCAACGGCGCAGGAAGAGAAAGAGAGGAGCCAAAGAGAGGGCTCCCCAAAAGAGAGTGGAGAGTGGGAGAGCGTGTGGAGCTCGGAATTGAACATTTCGAAATATTTAAAGCTGTACAGTGGAAAAAAATGTTGGAATTTTTTAAAAATATAAAATAATTACTAACTTATTATGAACTATGAAATTAATAATATAGAAATTATGTGATAATAAGATTTGTATTTTTAAGGATTATTTGTTTGTTAATATAAAGAAATACAAATATTAGATGAATATTAAATTGTGATCCTTGAATTGCAATTTAGAGTGATTACATCATTTTAGAGTTTAATAGGATATTTGCAAATAAAAACCTCTTTAAAAAAATGCAATTAAAATAATTATATTTTTTTTCTGCGTAGCCTTGGAGATTACGTTTTGGAGTGGCGCTCGTGTAACGGCATGTGGAGCAAGGCGCAGAGCAAACCAAACACAACTGTAATAAATGGGCAGCGATGAGTTGGGGAGAGGGAGAGAGAGGATGCTCGCCGAGATTTGTTCTCGATTTGATTTTCTAAAAAAAACAATTTTAATGAACTTATTTTGTACTTTTTTCTCGCTTTGCTGTTCCGTATTTCGAATTTCGAAGCGCAGGCCGCTCAAATCGAATCAGTTTGAGAAAAAATCGCGCCGGATACGGACACGTACGTGGATTGTGGCGGACAGTCCGGATAATCGAGTGGGATTAAACGGCCGGAATCATGACGAAAACGACTAAGCCCAAGGAGAAGGCGGCGGGGGGAATGGGGGCTGGAACGGGCGCGGGATCGGGGGCCAAGGTGGGCGGTAGTCTGCTGACGAATGCGGCGGACAGCAAGATCCGTACGGCCAAGTCCAACAACAACAAGCGGCAGTCAGGACGAGCAGCAGCAGCAACAACAACAGGAACAACAGCAACAACAACTGCAGCAACAGGACCAAATGCAGCGGCGAAAGAGACGGCAATAGCGATCGAAACGGAGCCAGCAGAGGGAGCGGCAGCGACGCTGACAGCGCAGCCAGCCGAGGCAGCGACGCCCGCCGCAGCGAATTTATCGACACTTGAGTCCGCGCGCTCGCAGGCTCACACTTCAGTTGTCAGCGAAACAGCAAGCCAAGCGGTAACCACACCAAACGCGCCGGCCACAGTTATAGCAACAGCAACATCAGCAGCAGCAGCAACACTAAGCGACACAACAGCAACATTAAACGACACAGCAGCCGCATCAATCGATGACGAAACCAGTGCGTTAAATAATAATAGTAATAATAATAGTCAGCCGGAGAACATCGCGAGTGAAAGTGTCCACCAGAAAGTGTCCACCATTAAGTGTCTGCCCGAAAGTGTGCAGCAGATCTACGAGCAGCAGCAGCAACAGTTTCTCGCCCAGCAGCAACAGCAACAGCAGCAGCAGGAGCAGGAGCAACATCACCATCACCAGGCGGTGCAGGAGCAACATCAGGCCAGTTGGCTGGCCTATGACCTGAGCAGCGGTTCAGCGGCAGCAGCAGCGGCGGCAGCAGCGGCAGCCTCGCATCCCCACCTCTTTGGCCACTTTCCCTACGCGGCCAGTCATCCTCAAGCCCAGCTGTACGAGCATTACGCCAGCACTACGGATCCCATAATGCGGAACAACTTTGCGCTGTATAGCGTTTATGCCGGAGGCGGCGGCGGCGTGGGCGTGGGCGTGGGCATGGCCAGCCATGAGCATTTGGCAGCGGCAGCAGCAGCAGCAGCGGCCCAGGGGACAACACCCAACATAGACGAGGTCATCCAGGACACCCTGAAAGATGAGTGCTTCGAGGATGGACACAGCAGCAACTATCATGTGCTGACCTCTGTCTCAGATCTGCACACCCTCAAGGAGGCCAGTCCCTATGCCCTTACGCACGAGCAACTCCACCAGCAGCAGCAGCAATTGTTGCACCAGCAACAGCAGCAACTCTACCACCACCAGCAACAACAGCAGCAGCAGCAGCAACATCACCAGCAGCATCACCATCACAACAACTCGGCCAGTTCGGCTGGCGGGGATTCGCCATCGTCCTCGCACCCACTGTCCACCCTGCAGAGATTCACCCAGCTGACCAGCGCCAACCAGCGGGATAGCCTCTCGCCGGAGAACGACGCCTACTTTGTGGCCACCCAGCCGGCCAGCAGCTTGCAGAACAGGTGAGTCTTGGGCCAGTGACCAAATGAACAAATGAGCTCACTATCACGAAGCTAGCGGGCGCACGTGCCTTTCGCCCGCTTGGCGACACCGTTAAAAGTCATGATCGGAGCACCGATCCGCGATCAGCGATCAGCGATCAACTAACAGAGCTCCAGTACCGCGCCGGCTGATTCATATTTCTCCCGCCTTGGCGGAGTGACGAAGCCACAATTGTGGCTCATTGTTCCAAAGCTCAGGCTAGGGTCTCCTTTTACCCTAGCCTCTCTCTCTCCCTCTCTCGAGAAACCCCAAATCCATACCCAAACCAAAATACAGTCGGTTATGGTTATGGCATTATGGCATTCTCAGGTGGTTTACTCAATATGTGGAATGCAAAAATCTGTTCCACTTTCAACTAGCCAGCTAGTTAGTTCGGCTCGAAGAATGTGTTTCCAGGGGGAACAACAAAAAACATAAACAAAACACAGTTGTGAAGGCATCACAGATGTCTCATGGGAAGAGCATTCCACTTATGAGGAGGTGGGTTAGTGGGGCAATACTTTGGATTCCAAAACAATATATATATACAATATATATATAAAAATCTTAAAGTAATTGTGTTCACCTAACCAAAATTTAAACTGCGTTTATAATATTTCTTATTATTATAATAATTATAATATCTTATTTAAATCTCGCTCATCTTACTTGAAGATTTCTTCTCAAAGTTTATTATTATAAAGACTAGACCTTACTTCTTCGTTTCCTTATCTTTCTTCAAATAATAATCTTTCCGAGATTATTGAACACATTTTTCCGATATCTTCTTTATAGAGATGACTTGTTCGGCTTCTATTAGTAATACTAACCTTGTTCAAGATCAAAATAAACAATACGGCTTTTGCACTTGCCATTTTTAGCGTCGCCTGTGTCTTCCCCCAAGAAATCTCCGGCAAGCTCGAAACTCAGCAAAAAAAATAACCAAAATGCCGCTCAAATTTCGTAAACAAGAATATGCAATGTCTTAATTATTGACGCATGGCTTTTCTGACTCAGGAGTTTTCTCGTTAGGGATCTTAGACCAAGCAGAACCAACTTCCCCAATAGATGCAGGAATTCTAGATGGTTGACTAAGTTTCTTCTGGGGTTTTCAACCAGCATGAGATGGCTAATAGTAATACTGCACGTGGCCAGTTTGCTGCCACTTTTGGCCTGCTTCCAAACACGTGCCACAAATGGAGGCAGGTTAACTACCAAAAAAAAGTGAAAAAAGGGGGCGTGACCCGCATTTGATCGAGCTGTTAGAACTCGGAATTTTTTTAGAACCCAACGAAAAAAAAAGAAAATGCAAATTGCAATTGAAGCGCATTTTTCTAGCTTGTTTTGGGTATACAGTTGCAAGCTCTATTTTGTTTGGTGTGAGGATACCTTTCGAGTGTGCGACTGTTTGAGAGTCGGTGAAACCCAAACCCCAATCCAGTGACATAAAAGCCCTCGAAAGAAATCTAAACTTGGGCCAAGTGAAACAGCTTCAAATGCTTTAGAAGGCTCCACTCTATTTTTTCATCGTTCAGGGTAGCCTCTGCTGACTCAGCAACCCCTGAGGTAAGGTATGTACATACATAGGTACACCTTGAAGGCTAAGGGTTAAGGGAGAGCGGTACGATGGGTGTAATGGGCCAATTTTATAACGATCGCTTGGAGCTAGCGGACCCAACGCACCCGCACCTTATAGATCTCATTTCACTCTATACTCTTTTGTAAATTCGCTTTTCCACACTTTGTGTTTTATTATTTGTTTTTCCTATGTTGTTAACCAAATTGAAAACGTGTTTTGCATATGCATATGAAAACAGGCATGAATACACATTTATTTGATATATACGAAGTCATGTGGGGAACAGTCAATAAAGTTTAGGTTTGAAAAGGGAAAGAAAAGCAATGAAAAATATCTATAGTTTTAATAAAATTGTTTAATAGAAACAGAAGATGTATTTATTATAAAGTTTGATGTATAGAGTCCCTAATATTTTCACTGAAACAAAAGTTTGTCAAACAATTTCTCCAAATTATGGCTATTTTTTTCCACTATTTTGAGGGTTTTGCTTAGACGGAAATGCTATATATCTGGCAACTCGATGTTGAGATCATCTGCTGGCGGATGATGGTGACGCCGATGTGCTCTGCATTTCGTATGTGACTTTTTGGCCAGTTTCGCTTCTGTGGCAGCAAGAAACCAGAAGAAGATATCACGCTGCTGGCCAGCTCACATGCCATTTTCGCCATACATACTTACCCAGTATATGTGAAAAACAAGAAGTCAACGCAAAATACTCACCTGCAACAAACAACAGAAGCAACAACAACTGCAGCGGTGATAAACTTATATCGTTGTCGTGCATTTTTTGTTGTCACTCAGACTTCCTATATATGCGGCTATATATTATATTATAGCTATAAGCTATAAGCTATGGGGCATCTTGAACTGAAGTGAAATAAGTGCTGTTATCAGAGAGCGTGCGCATCTGGCTGAAAGACCTGGTCATATGAATTCTGGCCACAAAGACTACATTTATTTGCAACCCATTTGTTTGATAATATATATAAAAAAATAGAGCTGTAAAGATATGGTTTCTGTTTTTTTCGGTTAAGTTTATGCCGTCACCTAATCACTTTTGGGGTAGATTTCTTTGGGCCAACAGTCACTGCAACTGCAACTGCAACGATTGCAAGTGCAGCAGCAGCAGCAGCAGCGGCGACAACTGCAACTGCATTGGCATAAAACTAAACCCGACTCAAGTCATTATGCAAACGCGCGTGCCCCGATTCGGTTGTGCTTTCTTCTCGGTCCCGGGTCGAAATCTCCGTCTCCATCTCCATCTCCATCTACATCTCGACCAGCTTCGTCCAGAGAACCCAGTCCGAAATAAAACTGCAAGCTGAAATACAAATAAATCAAAACGAAAACGAAAACGCTAAAGTTATAGCCGAGCTAAACCCATCACTTCCGCGTGTTTCCTGTGTTGCTGTTTACACATAAATAGAGAATTGTATTTTTTGCAAAACAAAACAGAAAAATGGTTGTACTAGACAATGGAGAATATTAATTGATTTATTTCGATTATTTCCCTGTCAAAGAAACGAGTGTGTAGCGGTTTTTTAAAGTGTACACCTGTGAATACGAAAGCCTAAAAACTCCAATCCTTTGATCTTCTAATCTTAGATCTTTAAAGATCGATGCCCCAAACAAACTTTTGTCTACGCGGCAATTTATTCTCCCCCCAGTTTTGTTTATTTTTTATGGTCTTTCCGAGTCTTGGCAAAAATATTTGCACAGGCTACTGTTAAATAAGGCTAACAAACAAAAGATTACGTACGTTATTTTTGTTTTTTGGAGGGGGGTCAACAGAATTGCAATCACTTTTATTCTTTAATTAAAAGTTTTATGGCCACAAGCGCACAGGCTCAACTGCAAACATGCCAAAAACTGGACGCTGGTGGTCCGTCGACGGCAAAAACAACTCATTCTTGTAAAGTAAACAATAACCAGGAAATGTTAATAGCGTCTCGTATTCCCAACAGTGACAGTGCGGTTTTAACAGCGGAGATAACAGCGCGACAGCGGTTAAAAACGCCCCCGAAACGCGCGCAAATGTACGCCTAGCGTTTTTAAACGCGCAAAAAGTTTTCGTTAATATCTTGAAAAAAAGGCATTTATAAAATGTTCTTCTCCAATTACAATAATATGTACTTGAAGAACTATTGCTATAGGTAAAGCAATCAAAGTAATGGGTTTAGTACAAATCATAACTACAATGTTAAAAACAAATTAGAAATTTATAGCAGAAGTTCTATAATTTAATATGATTTAAATAGATATAAATAAAAAGTATTTTTTTTTTAACACAGCTAAGATATTAAAACCATGCAGTTGTAATTAAAAATGTTTAAAAATATATGTTTTTTTTTTAATGACTAGTATGGGATTTCCTTGAAGTTTTTGTTTTGAGTTGTGATAAAAATGTTAACTTAAAAAGTTTTATAAATTTTGTTCAAGTAAATGCTTTAATACACTTGTAAAAAATGTTATACCTTTTAAAAATAAAATTTTAAAATTGAAATTTTAAAATCTCTCCTCTATTTCAGTTCTGTCTATGCTGGATCCTTGCTCACCCAGACGGCCAATGGCATTCCATATGGCATGCAGTCGCCCAACCAGACGCACGCCCACCTCCAGCAGCAGCACCACCAGCAGCAGCAGCAGCAACTGCAGCAACACCAGCAGCAACAGCTGCAGCAGCAACACCACCACCAGCAGCAGCACCACCACAACTCCAGCAGCAGCAGTCCGGGGCCAGTGGGTCTGCACCACTCCAGCTCCTCGGCGGCCACGGCGGCGGCGGTTGCAGCGGCAACGGCGGCGGTCAATGGACACAATAGCTCTCTGGAGGATGGCTATGGATCGCCCAGGAGCAGCCACAGTGGCGGCGGTGGTGGGGGAGGCGGCACTCTGCCCGCCTTCCAGCGGATCGCATCCGTCAGCAGTGGCTACGTGAGCGGCGTGGCCAATGGCTCGGTCAGTGGCGCCGAACGCTACGCTCCAATGAGCAATTACCGCAGTCAGGTGGGTGCTTAGACGAGAAGGATCCCCCCTCACGAACTCCTAACTAACCTAGAACTACCTTTTTTGCAGAACGAAGCCTGGTTCGATCAAATGGGGGGCTACTCCTCGGGGGGACAGCCGCAACTGGGCGTCGGAGTTGGACCCGGAGTGGTCACCAATGTGATACGGAATGGCAGGGCCATCTCGGCGGCCAATGCAGCAGCCGCTGCGGCAGTGGATGGATCAACTCCTGGAGCCTTTCTCTCCGCCTCGGCATCGTTGTCAGCAAGTAAGTTACCATTTAGGATTAGGAAAACCAAAATATTAGGCCAGACTAGGACATAAGCAAACTCAAAGCACTCAAACACACACAAAAACCAAGATCCCTTCCATTTATTTGGAGAGGGTTTTAGGTAGAACTTCACACACACACCAAAACGCTCCAGGCGAAAAGGAGACCCATCCATGGCCAGTTGTTTGCCTAACCTGAGCAAACCCAAAAAACTGGGTCATGAAATGGTGACCAACTGCAAGCAGCTGTTGTTATGATCATTTAATATTACATATATCTAGTCTTAAGCCTACGTCTCTATAATAAATTCAATTAATTTTATTTCAACTCTTGAGATAAAAGCAACCAAAATGAAACACCACAAAAGCAAAACCCATAGAAATACAAATCTAAATATATAAAACACACACAAAAAACAAACGCAAAACAGCAAAACTATCCAAACACCTAGCTACAAAAAACCTTATGACTTATTCCGATATTTCCATGTCAATCTTTGAAGCATTATTCGATGCCGATTATTTCACTGAGGGGCGAGAATGTGTCAATTGTGGTGCGATTTCAACCCCATTATGGCGACGCGATAACACGGGACACTATTTGTGCAATGCCTGCGGCTTGTACATGAAAATGAACGGCATGAATCGACCCCTAATTAAACAGCCTAGAAGATTGGTAAATGTCTAAAACAAATGTCTAAAAAAAATTCACAAAAATCAAACCAAACTACCAGCAATTATTACTAACCAATCAAAAACGAAAACAAAACCGAAAAGCTTTTGTGTGGAACAAAATTTCTATGTGTGCGAACTCAGTGTTTAGTGGGTATTTGAAAAATAATAAAAGAACTTATAGAAATCCGCATCCGCCAGCCTCAGCACCACCGCCCCAACTCCCCAGCTCCCTTCTAAAAAAAAAAAAGGAAAAGAAACAACTCCAAGAGAGTGAATTAAAATTAATTGAATTTATTATTTATTACGAAAATGCCAATTAGATTAATATGCGAAAAAGAAAACGAAAACGATCCTGCTTCTTGTGATATTACAACCAAACAACATTCTGATTGCTCAATTCCAGTGGCCGCTGAATCAGGCGGGGATTTCTATAAGGCCAACTCATTTAATGTGGGCGGCGGTGGCCGTAGTAAGGCCAACACGAGTGGTGCCCCCACCGCGCAGGCCTACTCCTCCTGTCCAGGCTCGAGTGCAACCTCGGCGACTTCGGCGGTGGCGTCGGGAACGGGAGCCACTGCAGCCACGACGCTCGACGAGCACGTTAGTCGCGCCAATTCGAGACGCTTGGTAGGTCGCCCATTAATTATCGATACCGAAACCAAACCAAAACCAAAAAAAAACCCAACCAACCAACCGAAACCCCCCAAAAAAAGCCAACTCACTAACACAGGAGAGCCCAGTAGTCCGAGTAGAGCCACTAACCTAGCCCAGATTCGCTGCTAACTAACCCCAAAACTAACTTGTAAATTCGAAAACCCGTAAATCTGTAAATCTGTAAATGCATACCCCACGTAAACCCTCTTTGGCCACTGAATTGCCATAGAAAACGTTGTTCCACACGAAAAGCTTTCGCTATCTCCAAGTGTTTTTTTAGTTCTTACTTACTAATCTTAACTAATTCTTGCCACATCTAGAGCGCCTCCAAGAGAGCCGGACTATCCTGCTCCAATTGCAACACCACCCACACGTCCTTGTGGCGCCGCAATCCTGCCGGAGAACCCGTCTGCAATGCCTGCGGACTGTACTTTAAGCTCCACAATGTCAACCGACCGCTGACCATGAAAAAGGACACCATTCAGGTGAGTTTGCTAGGAGTATTTGGTTAATTTCCGTATCAAATAGAAAAATTGCAATTTTCATTATCAATTTAACATCAATCAATGGTAGTAATTATAGATGAAAGTAACATCGTGAATATCCTGTTGATCCAGAAAATGTTGTTGTCCGTTTATCAAAGTATACCTGCTTAAAGAAAATTTAACCAGTATAAATAACTATTCTAAAATTCTTATATTTATTGGTAATTTCAAAGACCATTTGAATAACCTCTGTGATTTAATTGCAAAAAGCATATAGGTATTCTTATTATCCCATCAGATCCATTTCGTTATTGACCTTTATTTTAAAGAATGTTTAAGAGCACCACAGATATTAAAAAAATGTTACTTAATTTCTAACAATTTTAAGTCTATCTAATATTAATAAAGTCTATATAATTTTGTTGAGTCTTTAATTATGTTGCTATAATTGACTTTATTAATATTTAGTTATATTTTTCCTTCTGCATTCTAATACTAATTATTCCCTGTTACTCTACAGAAACGCAAGCGCAAACCGAAGGGCTCGAAGAGCGAAAAGTCCAAGTCGAAGTTGAAGAACGCCCTGAACGCCACCATGGAGAACGGCTCTTTGGCAACCAGTTGCCACAATGTGGGCCTCGGTCTGGACAGCAGCCAGATGGATGTGAACGATGGTGAGTTGCAGTGACCAGTAACCATTCCATTTGCATGCCTAATTAGTGACGTTTGCTTTCTTCTTGTTCCCCGCTCACCTGGCATATGAAGATATGAAGCCACAGCTCAATATGAAACCATACAACTCATACTCATCGCAGTCGCAGCAGCAGTACAACCAGCAGCAGCAGCAGCAGCAGTTGCTTATGGCTGATCAGCACTCATCGGCGGCCAGCTCGCCACATAGCATGGGTTCCTCCTCATTGTCGCCCTCAGCCACATTGCATCCGAATCAGCATCAGCCACATCCTCATCAGCAGCAGCAGCAGCAGCAGCAGCTCTGCTCCGGACTGGACATGTCGCCCAGCTCCAACTACCAAATGTCGCCACTCAATATGCAACAGCAGCAGCAGCAACATCAGCAGCAATCTTGCAGCATGCAGCATTCACCCAGCACGCCCACATCCATCTACAATACTCCATCGCCCACTCACCAGCTCCACAATAATAACAACAACAACAACAATAGCACGCTATTTAATAACAACAACAACAGCAGCAATGAGAATAACAGCAAACTTATACAGAAATATCTACAAGCTCAGCAGCTGAGCAACAACAACAGCAGCAGCAGCGGCTCCACCAGCGACCATCAGCTGCTGGCCCACCTGCTGCCGAACTCGATTACGGCAGCGGCAGCAGCAGCGGCGGCAGCAGCGGCGGTGATCAAGACGGAGGCGGCGGCGGCGGCGTCGGCCCTGTCACTCACCTCCCAGGCCAACTGCTCCAGCTCGGGATCGGCGGGACTTACGATCACCTCAACACCGACCACGGCATCGAGCGGATTATCGTCCCTGGGCCACAGCAGCCATATTAGTCTGCAGAATCCGTATCTTCAGCTGGGCCTGGGCCAGGCGAGATCCTCGCCGCCCTACTACCTGACCACCACCGAGGAGGATGACCAGCCGGCGCACATCAAGCTGGAGGAGATGGATCAGCAGAGTCAGGGGCAGGGCCATCATGGCGAGATAATGCTCAGTCGATCGGCCTCGCTGGACGAGCACTACGAACTGGCCGCCTTCCAGAGACACCAGCAACAGCAACAGCAGCAGCAGCAACATCTCCAGCAGCAGCAACAGCAACAGCAGGCAGCTGCCCTTTTGAGCCAGCAACACGAGCAGCATGTGACAAACTATGCCTTGCACAAGTTCGGCGTGGAGCGGGAAACGGTGGTGAAGATGGAGTAGAAGGAGTGGCCGCAGCTCTCTACCCATGACCAAAGATTCTGTTGTTACATAAATCTCATAGCTCCAAAGAATTTATAGCCTGTATACCAAGAGAGTTGTTCTTAAAGAACCCTCCGCCTATCTAACGCATCATTAGTTGTTGTACATATATAGTACGTTTTAATTTTAAGCTTAAGTCGTTTGACATTTCCATATTTTTTCGGCGAATTTTAATGGCCCACCACTCGAAATTTTGTTGTTATTGAATTGTAGTTTAATTCTTAGCAAAATGCCAAAAGCATAAAATCGATTCAGATTCTAGGTTAAGTCTTACAAATTTGTTATCAAATCGAATACCTTTTGAGATTTCCCACAATCAAATTCCACTTAGATATTAGCCACTAATTTAAGTTAAGCCAGCAAACAATGACAAAAAAAAGACACACAAAAAACAAAAACAATCGAAGTAACCAATAATCTCATGCAAATTAGTTAGTAATTTATCTATTTCTTATAACATTATCGATAAATATTTAAAGCAATTTAAGTTTTAGACGCGTACAACTTTTTACATCATCTTTGCAATATTAATTTTATTTCTTTTGAGCGAATAAAAGACAATTGTCCCTGAAATGTTTCAAAAGTGAGTTTCCTTTGAAATTAAGGTTAAAGTAATTTTATGGGCCAATGTGGCGTATGAGAAATGTGATTTCCTGCTTTCAGTGTTGGTAAGTGTACCAATTTTAGTGATCTGCCTAAAAGTAGGCACTACATTTTTTATCTGCCATTTGGACTGAATAAAGTATGCTACAAATTTTTGACTTTCTATGTAAGGTAAAATTGATGCCTGTGTATGTCTTACTTCAATTATCTACATGCAGACGTCTATGTCGAAAAGGGCCATTATCCTTTGAAACCATTGCACTATTATTTAACTGTTAGTTACTGTTGTTTTTAAGGAAAGAATAAATTAAATAAATAATTTACTATTAAAACATATTGTATCCATATGAGCCTCATATGTATTTACCTATAAGTTGTTGTTAAATTCGGGAGAGCCAATTAAGATAATTGTTTTTTTTAAGCTGGATTCGCATCACTGATGAAAATGGTATAGTAAAAAACCTCAGAGAAGTTTTAGTTTGATTACAGCTTATTTACCCTAGAAGTAGAGTCTAAAAAACCCCTTCTCGGAAGGAATGATTTTTAAATAAATGGTTTGTTTTGGGATATTTTTATTATTTTAACAAAATTCTTATATTATGTTTTTGTTTTCGAATATTAAATGCCTATTTATCACAGAAATTAGTAAGAAAAAACTGGAGACAAAATAATTTATTTACATTTAAGATATCTCTGATGTAGAAAATTAAACCTAAAAACATATTTCGGACTAATGATGAGAGTGAACGAACAATAGTTGGGATGTTTTTATTATTTGAATATAATTCTGATATTTTGTTTGAACTTACAAATATTAAATAAACATTAAATAAAATAAAACACATATTTTGGGGAACTATGGCCCCACACTATATTTATTTAAATATATGTACAGATTTGTGGAAAGCATTCAAAGTGGTTAATTTGGTGGAAAAACCCAAAAACTCAGTGCCACTCTAGAATTCTAAAATTACAGGCAACAACCAAACAATGTAGCAAAGAGTGTGTATTTTTTTGGGGCGGGGGATGTACATGTGTGCGTGGGGGATGGGGGTGGTGTTGTCAGTGTGTGTGTATGGGTATTATATTATTTTGTGCGCCGCCATTTACGAAAGCGACATTTTCAGTGATAAGATAACGTCGCATTGCCGAGTTCCCTCCGCTCTGTCTCTGTCACTCCCCACCCTCCCTCTCGCTCTATTTATATTTTTCGCTCTATTTCTTTTTTTTAATAAACTTTCAGTACGTTCGTTGGTTGCTGTTGCTTTTTTATGGGAGTCACGCGTTACAAAACGACAACAGCAACAAAATCTGAAAGTCATTTCATGTGGCAAAACAGTTTTTGTTTATTGCTAGGGTTGTTTGCTCGCCGAGGGTGGGGATCCGCCAGGGAGGGTCCGCTGTTGTTGGTGGGTGGGTTTTGAGTGGGTGGTGGTGGGTTGGAGGGTGGTAGGTGGTTGGCAGCCGCGCCTGGCTACGTGACTGTACAAAAGTGCCGCATGTCGCTGAATCGTCGCTCGTGCAGCGCTCAAGTGGCGCTGCGTAGGCTCCGTCCAGTAATTTGATTGATACCGCCGTTGATTAGCCGCGAATCGAAGTCCATCCACCTGAAAAAATTCCCCTTGATGGACATTTTTGGGCCTTGAAATTCATTTTAAACCTATTATTATATTTTGTCTTTCTTCTGTTAATTGTTTATAGGGAAACTATCTGCATTGTTGGCCTAATCGGTCGTTGCTCAGGTATATTTGCAAAACTTTCACTCAAGAGATTGCCGGTTCTTTTTGGCGCCGGGTCAGGGTTCCACTATCAAAGCTTTGGGCAAATATTAGAATGATAATAAGCCAGCCACATAGCCTTGTCTTGCACGATATCACAACATGTACGATAAGATAAAGTATTTCTATGTTATTATTTTGAATCTTTTTGGGGCAACATTACGCTACTTAGAAATTTTAAAAGTTTCAAATTCCCTTCAAAACATTTTATAACTATTAAAATGTAAAACACTTAACCAAATGAATTAAAACATACTAAAAGATATTAAGAAATTTAAGTGCTGCTAAAAGGATTGGAAACTTTGTTACAATTTTATAATATATAGCCACTAAATAAATATTCGTATATAGTATTTGAGTAACCCTAATTTGCTAAGCTGTGGCAACTTTGAATCATTGTTTGGTAATCATTAGGCTGAATTTGTTGACTCTCATTTTATAAGAGCTTAGACTTTAATGTTTGCTGCTAGTAAATAAGTCTCATATTTGCGCACGAACTAGGCTAGATATATACCTTACAATGATTATAAAATAGTTATATGAAGGTATAAGAACACAAGACCTAAAACACAATTTTCTTATAAAGTAAAGTAAATTTTAATTGATTAGTATACATTGTACAAAGGCCAAATTCGAATATTTCACAAAATATAACCCACAATCTAAAAAAAATAAAATTCCATGCAAATGATAAAGTTCTAAGCAAAGCTACACGAAATAAGTATGTTGAGTAATGTCCTGCTATTTAAGTATTTATCACAGAGTTTTTGGGAGACTGGTACCGGGTGACACCAAGAAGATATGTTAAAAATCGGGAGTTAAATAAAATTAATCATATTTCGACATTTCATGGGTTTTTTTACGGAAGGCACTAAGGTCACTAGTGATTTGGTATTATAACAATGGTCACAGCTCACAGTAGGCTGTATTCTCAGTCCTTTTTTGTTTGATTATATCCGGCATATAGTATATATCCTCAGCCTATTTTTACGTTTTCAGCACACACACTTGTAGTACGTAATTTACGATGAGTTCATGTTCAGCCTGACGCTCGACATTTTATGGCTCAATTTTTTTTATTAGACGCGTTTTGTTACTCATTTTTATTTTCGCACTTTTCTGGTCTGTCACTTTACGATCTCCAGCTCCTCTCGTTCAATGTTATAATCCATTATAATGATTATTACTATTTTATAATTGCCACACGGATCGGCTGAGAAACGGAGCGCGTTTTAATGGAAAGTGCAAAACTTACTGTGCCAGCAACGAAATAACCACACTCGGTAAGATATCTGAGTATATATGATTTTTTTACATGCCCATTCCATAGATAGGCAATCTGTATCTGTGGCACGATAATGCTTATAAATAAAAATAAGATAATATGATTTGATAATGGTATTTACCATATGCAGAAACCGAGGCCGCAAGGCAGCTCAGCTGGGTTGTGTAAGTCGCTGGAGTTTCTGCTGGCTATATAATATATAATATTCTATGTATAAGAAATGCATGTTTTTCTTCACTTTTCCTTACTGCGGTGCACCTAATTAAATGTTTGACATCTGCCTGATTTATTTTAGCGTGAAAATGCTGAAAATTCCCCGATTCCAGGCCGTGTAGGCATAGGTACACCATATATGGGTTCAGTTTAGGTCTGAGTTGTGCAAACAGATTGCATTTAGAGCAGTCCGAATCCCCCACCCTCCAATTCCACCCTATGGTGCTCCGTTCTTTTCTGTTTGTTGTTGACTTGACTGCTTTTTGATGTCTTCTTTTTTTCCATGGCCTTATCGCCAACTGACGTTTGTACCTCAGAATGTGTACTTAAGATAATGAAATTGAGGAAGAAGCAGCAGGGCCTCGAAGCGACACGAAGGGGCCTAAACATCCACATCAGCAGCAAAGTCAAATGGAAAAAAAATAATGTCACCAGCTATACGATTTGAACTTTCGGAATAAAACATAGAACTTCCATAGCCTCAGTTCACCTGGCTGGATAAGATCTATAGGTATTCTTTTTTTTAATATTTTTTAGAACGAAAACTGCACCTCATGGTGGTTGGCAATTTCTTGGAAATAAGGTACTTTTTTGGTATCAGGCAGTAGTTAATAAGCATATTCTAATCTAATCAGCGGATCGTTAATTAACTTCCAAAGTTGACTTTCGCTTTCTCAAGTGTTACTTGAGCGCTGCTTTGGCAGTTCGAATTTATACACAGGGCCCAGCAGTATCTTATCGATGAGCCAAAGATCAAATTTTCAATTCCCAAAACACACGGCACATGTTCCATATTTCATTGGAAGCTCTTATATAAACGCCTGATTTCGTTGAGTACACTTAATGGATAACTGCCAATCCCCATATATGATATTGGGTAGTATTCTTTGTAATATCACAACACTTTTTCACAGATTTATATCCATTTAAGACCGCTCTGCATTGTTTTCTGTCGGGACGAACGCGCAAAGGCAATGTTTCCATGTTGAAAATCCCAGTTACACTCACCAACTGTGATTAGATTCCATGCCTCTGGGCGTCCAAACTTAAGGAATTACTGAAAAATTCAAATTATTATCGCTTATTATCTTGGGACATTATCAGTTCAAACACTGATATACTGATACAGACCGCGAGAGAGAGCCATGCCCAGAAACCAGAAACCAGAAACAGAACCCAGAACCAGAAACAGAACCCCGACCCAAACTGGAAGTGGAACCTTAACTGCCTGCAGATACCCCAAACTGATACCGATATCCTACCAACGGCAACAACTACAACAACAACAACAACAGCGACCAATTGATAGCAAATCTTCATTATCTTATAAATACGGCTGCATTGGTGGTCGTGTATCGCTAAAAAGCCAAGATTAGATACTTTTATCTAGCTGGGTCAACCACGTCCCCATCCCCATTCCCACTCTGAATCCGCTCAAGGAATTGGCTACGTCACAGATAGAGTTCTCCCCCCCATTATCGGTTAAGCAAATTCCCACTCGGATGTGGGTATGTTTGTCCAAGTGGAGCAGGAGCGGTGTGATTGTGGTTCTGGGTTAAGTAGACGCCACCGATTGACTTACGAATTCGGTTTGTTGGGGGCCTGCCACCCCACAGGGATATCTATATCTCTCTCGGGGAGTCGAAATCTCTGTTAAGATACGTTAACTTATCTAAGGCCACTATCTGTTCTCAGATATTCGAT